ATACATACTTAACTTCACGCCTGTCACCCCTGGGGGAGGCAGAGAGTATGTAACGCCAATTACTACAATTCCTATATACCTCTTTCGCTTCATTAACAGTCATGAATTTTTTCATGCATGCTCGTCGCTTATGGGTCCTTTCAATTTGGCCCTTCTTTAATATATCGCCAATCTATGTCCATCTAGGTCGGTATATATCCATCTAGGGTGCTCCCCGGACCCATTCATATCCGCTCTGTATACTTCTTTCGTTACTCTACTTTCATTCATCTTTTCTACAAGTCCAAATCAGCGTAACATTTCCTTTTCAATCCTTGTCATATGGTACATCATCTTGCAATCCACACCTTTCTCTAATAACACTATTTTTCACTCGATCAATCTTGTCCAAAAATTGTTATTTCGGGTCTGGATGTCATGAGTATGTGAACTTGTATAATAGGGTTATTAAACAGGATATAAAAATTAAAAATGTAATTAGTCCGTCAGTTAAGTAATGAAAAAATATTAGACACGTATTTTTTTATTTTTTTGTATAATAAAATGTTATTTAGATATAACGAATGAAAGTTTAGGAGTGGGGACTAAAACGTCATTTCTACGTATAAAATGTACCTACATAGAAGTGACGTCACGCGACATTTCAAATCAATATATCTTCGCAACTATTCGTTTCCGTAAAAAAATAAAAAATACGTGTCTAATGTTTTTAAATAATCTACCAGACAGATATTAAAATAAAAATTAGTCATTTACCCTATTGTAAACTAACCCGTTTGAAAAGTCGCGGAGAACCTAACGGGTAACCGTGGCTCGACGTGCAGGAGAAGGAACGGGGTGGTTTTTAGTCAGTAAGAGTCTGACACTCCCTTCCGCCTTACCCAGGTGGGAGCAGTCATTCGATGATTTTCCCCCCTTAAAAAAAACCCGTTTGAAAAGAAAAACATTCTCAATCAAAATTTCATTAGATCTTGATATTAGCGAGTTATTTCCTATTTCGCATGTTAAATATACTTCCGTTTCGTCACTGTTTCCACCGACGTTGCCACACAAACAATCGGAGCATGCCCTTTATCATTATAACTAATTAATTATGCTTTATATACTGAGTATAGTTGTATGTCTAATGTAAATAATGACCATAAATGGTAATGACGTGATAAAGCAGGCTTATTAAGTTGGAATATTTTGAAAATTTGAGAAGGAACCCGTTATGTATGCTCTCGTAGTCTTGTATCTATAACACTTTGGAATCACCCATCAGGTTATTTACAGAATTCTGAACAAACCCTTATAAATTTCTAGGATGCATTTTGTGGGCTGTCTTGCTCCCTACGAATAGACTTCTAGCTATGAAGTCTAATAGCAATAGACTGTCGCAATAGAAAACGGTCGGCACTGTAATTATTCTGTTTATACAATTTAAAATGATATAATTTATAACAGTAATATTATCATACGTTTTTATAAACATATGAATTTAATACTTACACACAAGAAAGTTGAAAAAAAGGCGGATATAGTCTCTTGAAACAACGACTGTGTCACCTGGCTACTATAGACTTACACGCAGAATACACACACATTGACGCGAAGGACATCTTTCGCATGACATGGCTCATTATTACACTTCATACATTACGCATTTTCAAATATACGCACACACAAATACACCACTGACATTTTGGTGCTTCAATCATGTCTAAGTGACATTACGTTCGTCTGTTTTTAAGTTCCTTGCCTACACAGTACACATATTATACCTCTAATATATTAGACGAAAGCGCGACCCAAAACTCACAGTTGGCCCCCATCAAGAAACAAATTACAATCTAATTAAACATTACAATACCTCGGCATTTCATTGGTCTAGTAATAAAATGTGTTATGTAATACACAAGTGGGCTAACTGCGCGCCGGTATGTGGCTCACTCAGTATTTGACAAGTGACTTGCATTGTCTTCTAGAAAACGTGGTAGTAACCAGGTGTTCCCACAGTCTGTGGTGCAGGCTTCAAGATTATGATATGTTAAATCTCGAATTAAACTAAGGACTAAGTAATATACGAACGTACATACATATAGGTGTAAAATGATCCTATATGTATATCAGAAACTCGAAAGTATTTGTGAATAACATAACATCACGTCTTTTACCCCGAAGGTATAGGCAGAGGTGCCATTACGGCACTTAATGCTACTGTACAATGTTACATCCATTTTTCGCTATATATGTATGTTATGAGTCCCATGTAATAGGAGTTGAGGCATATACCGGGCATAATTCCAGACTCCGTGCTACTACTAAGATTTAAAAAAAACTCAGTAATACTTTGCCCTACTCGGGAATCGAATCCGTGACCCCTTGCCCAGTAGCGGCACTTGCGACCACTCGGCCACCGAGGCAGTCAGAGTCTGAAGAATTTAACTCTTTATTAAATACCTATAAATTATAGTTTATCATAAGACTACACGATTTTATATGTAAAGCATATATTTTAGTCATCATTATTTTCATGTAGGTACATAAATATCCACCTGGGTACCAAAGCCCTAAAACTGTAACCAGCCACCATGGAACGATAATAGCTTCTTCATAATCTTCGAAGTGATCTGCCAACTACACGTCTACTCGCCACCCGATCAGAACCAGACCCGAGCTAAGTCCGCGTCGCGCTCCACGTGTGCCTTAAAGAGCCATCAGACCACCACGGATGGGGCCCAACAGGGCTGATGCCGATACGGAGCCGCGGAGAACTTAACGGGTTGCCGGGGCTCCGGCTTGAAGTAGGAGCGGGCTGGTTTTTAGTCAATATTAGTCTGACACTCCCTCTCGCCTCACCCAAGGCCAGAGAAGCGATTGGAGGAATTTCCCCTCAAAAAAATAGTAAAAAAATAACTCTGCCTGCTGTATCAATGTGTAGTTCCTTTTATGATACCCATGGTGGGAGTAGGGATAGTGACAAATGTTTGCCGTCATCTGTTGGCAAGTAAATGGATGTAGTGTCCATGTTCCAATTATGTTAAGGCAGATCCTAAAAAGCCAATTAAATATTTAGCAGTTCACCTTGCACTCACTACAGTTATTACTTTTATTATAGTTGCGACAATATCTAAACATAGTCATTTATACTTCACACACGGAACTCGAGACATTGCAGTATGCAGTAAAAATGTGCGGCCATATTTTTATTGTCAGTCGTTAGTAAGTAGATCTGTCTGCTTATACTTCATATTCTGTCTGCTGCTACATATTTCAAAAGTATTTAAATAAACACAATGGTTATATTTGTATTTATTTTAAAGTATCATTACTTTTTAGTAAATAAAATGTTTCTTATTGGAGCACAATTCACGATGGAAGCTCTTCTAGACGAATCCTAAAGACGTTTGTAAAATTCAAACTAGGTTAGGTACTTGCTTTACCATCCCCCACCTGAATTACAACTAAATAAATGCAGACTTAACATTCATATTCTATTAAAATTCATATTGATAATTTATCTAAAGTAGGACTATCTATCATCTATTATAATAATATTTATAATTTGCCAATAAAACAAGAGCCAAGAGTTCGTATAATATAAATTGCTTTAACATGAGAACAAGTGAACAACGTGCTACTAGGTTTCACGTCTCATTCGATGCTGGGCGTGTTAAACTGATTTTCCACTTCGTTATACATTAAATAAATAACTTAAATAATTATATATTCATGTTGTGATAAACACCTGATCTTTGAGATAGCGTTTATTTATGGTACTTAGGATTTTCGCACGAGTGCCAAAGAATTAATGCTTCATTACAATCTTGTAATTTGATTTATAGTTGTGTAGGTAATGTTGGGAATTTGTCTTTGACTGACGCGGTTTTCTGTATTTGTGCTACCGTTGTTAGTGTAAGGGAAAAATTACTCAAAGTGAAAGTCAAAGCATTTATTTCTATTAATCCTTAATTAGGCACCATTGAAACGTTAAGAATTTCATTGCTCAACGTGAAAAATTAATGACTTAAATACTTATTTATACTCATACTTATATGATATTGTAAGACGGTAGTAAAAAGAGCAGATGGTATCGCCTGATGGTAAGCGATCAGTGTCGCCAATAGACACCTCAACAAAGAATCAAAATGTTGTTGCTAGCCTCTTTTCTTGAAGGTTTGTAGATCTCATTAATCCGGAATTACCGCAACCAATCAGAAAAGAGCTTACCGTATTTATGCTCACTATAAATGGCGATAGTGTGAACAAGTGTCATATCATTGGAAATTTAATATTTGATAACTGCTGTGTTTGGAAAAAAATCTTTTCACTTTTGCGCCATCTCGTGAGGAAAAAAGCATTAGCCACATTGTTTGTAGGAGTTTATGTCCAAAGAGTTCCAACAGTTTTCTTAAGTATCTAGAACCTTTACTAAAGGGCTTGTGGACATTTTTTATTGTATTCTTCCACTTTAAAATGTCTTTTCTGGTATTTGAACGAGCGTTTAGACTGCATTTTTTGGTTTATTCGTTTTAATATCTTTTGCTTACTGCAATAACATGACAACAAAACATTTAACCATCATTAAAACTCAACACTAACAAGACAGCCACCATCATTGCTTTATTGCAAAGCATATAGCAAACATTTATAGTAATTTAAAATTTAATGAGGTCGATATTAGCTTAAATAAACCACAAATATATCTAAATGGTGTTTCGTTTAACATTTTGTAACAAATGTAGCCTCTAGGCTAGATTTAATGGCAGTACTTCATTTGCCTGTAGTTATAGATACCTTATATCGTTGGGTCACGCCTGTTTTACTTTTATTGATTGACATTTCCAAATATTATCTAGAAGGTATAATTTAGTCGCTAGCGCAGGGATAAGAACATAAGAACAATGTTGACTGTGCTCTAGATTGTTCTATCATTCGGTCATTTGTCTAGGTTTTAACGTCAGTCCTCGAAGTGGTAGGCAGAGGGGCACATTATACCACTGTACAACGTAACATACCGACGTCTGTACTATGGTTGATAGACGCTTTGTGATGCCGAGTTCGCGGAGTATGGATACGTTGGTGCGGAACTCAGTCCACGGTACGCCAACCTTCTTCTTCCAGCACCACATCTCTAGAGCATCTATCTTCCCTTTTTCCAATTCACGTATGAGTACTGGTATTTTGATTAGCTAACCGACTTAAAAAAAGTGTTGTGTTAAGTGACGCCATGACGGTAAGACCTATTCTATTCTACCATATGATTGATCTATTCCACCATTCTTCAATTATTCAAATCTCGCGATACTAGATACACGTACCGTAGTAATTAGATCATATTAGTCACCGACACACTATTACAGATGTTATTACAGCCACACCCACTGCCACAGCTCCAGTAAATATCATAATTACACACAATTACAGACGCATGGAAGGTCACTCCACTCCACAATCGCATTTCTTGCTTCTGTTTCCATGTCCTAGATATTTGCATTTGTATCTCAAAAACAAGGTTCAATCAAAACATCCAATATGTCCAAAACCTTATGTAAGACGATCAAACTATGACTAAACTAAACTATGTATCTACTTTTATTATTTTAGTATCTGAGCGCAAGTTTCTAAAAAATTAACTATGTAGGTAGGTAGTATCTTATTCTAACCGCATCGGATCTGACCGTGATCGGATCTCATGTTTGTTTAGGATATCGTCTTGTAAAAATGATTCTGTAAATACTACAGTATTGAGACAACAAGTAAAACTTAATATAAACGATTCACATATGCATGTAGTGTAATCATAATGATAAATCTGAAATGAAGTACTTACGTTTACTAATTCTTCACACAATTCCTCTAGCTCCTGTTTGTAAAAGACAGCAATTAAAACCCACATATATTTTTTATTAGTTCTCAGAACATTAATAGAAATTGCGACAATTTAAAAAACGAAAGTTCAAATAAAAGCAATCCGAACTACATTATGATTAGTAAGCAATGTATGTACGTGTACCTATACAATTAGCATGTTACTGGGTGTTTTATAATTATATACGTATTTGCATAATGGCTCCTATAAGGATACGTTGAGATCCGGTAAAATTGAATTAGAGTAAGAACTGTGTGGCGCAATAACTGCTCAGACTCGACAGTGATCGGATTAAGATTGCTAAAGTGATTATTTTACCAAAGAAAAGAAGCAAGGAAAAGTAGGTAGGTAAGAATGGGATGAGGCGAGTTCTTCACCTCGTCATGACTGAGACTTTAAAACAGATATTTCCTTTTTTCAGGGTCTGACTTTGACTACTACGGGTGAATACGTTGCTTATGGGAAGACGTGCTCCATCGTATGCCCCATTATCATTTACCACCAGGCGAGATAGTGGCCAAACGTCGATCCATCGAATATAAAAAAAAAACTATCTAGGCCTACGTTAGAGTACGAATGCCTATAAGCAACATAATATTGACTTGAGTTTTGAAGACATTTAATATTCTTCCTTGCTAGCCAAATAATCATAGGAAATCTTTAATTATGTTTTCGGCTTTCTTATGTAACCGTTTGACGAGGAACTCAACTAGTCTCAAGCCATACTAGGGGCTCGTATTCAGGAGCAGCATTCGGCGACCCGCGACGACTGTTGCGCTGCTACTGATCTCTTTGGAAGGATCCTAAAAAATTGTCTATTTTCTTCTGTTAGTATCTATAAGACATATTTAAAATACATGCGGATATTATTTTATTATTTCTATCAGTGCTTTTTTATGGCATAAGCCGGTAAACGAGCAGACGGATGAAAAGCAATTGGCGTCGCCCATGGATACCTGTAACACCAGAGGCGTTAAAAGTGCGTTACCGGCCTTTTGGGGATTAGGAGTTTGAGGATCGTTAGGGATTTAGGGATTGGGGAGATTGGGGAAGGGGAGGTTAATTGGGCCTCTGGTAACCTCACTCACTCGATGAAACACAACGCAAGCGTTGCTTCACGTAAGGCCGTAGCCTGTAAGGCCGTGGTATCACTCCGGTCGAGCCGGCCCATTCGTGCCGAAGCATGATGGCTCTCCCCACACTTAATGTTGAAAGTATATTTAAGTTTGTTTAAATGAATATTTTTTTCTAACTATTCTTCTTAGAGTAAAATATGAATGTAATAACATCACGCCTCAAACACGCGTTTATTACGAATCTTACGTAAAATTTACTGACCATGACCTTGCCGCTAACTTATTAGGTTATGACCCAATTTTTTTTATGCTTATATACTTTTTTGTCAACATTTCGACATAAGGGTGTAGCAAGACAATTTGGTATTAGGTATCCGAACTTTTTACGTTCGGTCAATTATATTTGTGGTCTAGTTAGCAAAATTGCCTAATTACAGCCGATTATTGAAAGAGATAAGGTAGTACGTACATAATTATCACCAACGTTTTAATTTCAGTAAGTGCATAGTAATTATCATCTGTTATTTTAAGTGTTTTTCGTTGCGAGTTCGTGATTGGCGGTTCCGGCATTAAATAATGACAACTGATAATCGTGTTTTGTTAGTTTTTAATTGTGGTTTCTGGAATTCTAGTGTTTTGGTTGTTCATGTAGTGGTTTTTCGAATGTTTAGTTTTAGTATCAGCTAATTGGTTATTTTTAATGTCTCTTTACAGTTAATTTTATCTCAAGTCACTTTTAATTTGAAATAAATAAATTCGACATCCACATTACATGAATTTACAGACATCCGAAGATACTCAAAGTTTGGTGCTTCATATTCCTGAGGTATATTTGTTTGTATATTCAAAATATAGATGACAAGAAAAATCGGAAGAAAACTTCACTTTCATTGACCGACACAGGAAAATTATTTGCAAAACGTAACAAAAAACTGTTGTAACGCTTAAAAGTGATTAATAGCTCTTTAATAAATGGAGCGAGAAATCAAAGAGCTCTCACACGCATACAACGGATTGGTACGGCTAGACCGATAGACAAACTTAAAAAGCAGTCCAGCCACACTTTATTACAAGGGTATATGGTTGAAAATCGTATGTATAAAATTTCAATAGGTTGGTAAATAACAGTGACGTAGTTCGGACGCAATGCCACCGTTGCCAAAGTGCATGTAAGTGGAATATGCAACTAGTGGCCTATGGATACAATTACCATTCCTTTATAATTAAGATTTTTAATTAAAACCGATTAGACGTATGAATATTGGAATGTGAATTTCGTAATATGTTACGTTTTATGTTTCAGGGTTAAAAGAGTTCAAAGAAAAGCAAGAGTTTCGTGTTAACGTGTTTTTGTCACCTCGTGAAAATACATTTTTTTATGAAAAATATTAAAAAACTTCTTTAAGGGGGATATCTTTGGTCCTTTGGTCTATGACTACATAATGATATCATAGAGGCCTCCTTAAACAATCTACCGTTTTAAAAATAGAAGAGTTGTCTGTAAATGTTTGTGGACAAAGGGTTCGCCGCGGTCACCGGGGACCGCTCTCTACTAATAACATTATAGACCTTATTTCCCATGTTTAGAGACTACTTTTGTATGAACTTTAGGGTAGGTACTACATTTCCTCTGAGTATTAAATTTCTTCTGAGTATTGAATTCTCTGAGTATTCTGAGTATTGTTTCTTTCCCGTATGGAGTCAAAACGTAAAAATAGACGATCGGTAAAGAACATTGTTCATCATCTGAAGCTTGTTACAATAATAGGGTAGTTTCCTAAATTTATTTGAATGTCCGTCTGGTACATTAATTTAAAAATTTAGACACATATTTTTTCTTTTCTAACAAAATTAAATACTTTCGACGATATATTAATTTGGAATATCGTGTGACGTCACAGCGTGTCACACTTTGTAGCACGGTATAACGTAACGACCGTAACGTCCTCCTTAACCTTAGCGCCATTGTATCTAAGTATTGCAACTTCATACAAGAAAATAAAAAATACGTGTCTAATATTTTTTCATTATCTAACTGACGGACTAATTACATTTAAAATTTTGTTACCCTGGAAACTACCCAATTACTGAATTATATAGCTCCACGCATATACATAGGCAGCCAATGGACCAATAGTAGTAACAAGTAGGATATCAAAGAAAACCAATTTCGGAAAATTACGATAGTCTCCAAAATGCACCTGATTACCTACTTTGTATCTTTCTTGCAACTTAGGTAGTATCTACATAGTTAATGTATATTTAATTTAAATGCACAACTTCCATTGCACTTTCTGCTCTACAAAGCCATAAGATGTTTTATCTTACATGCGTCAACGGTTGCGTAAAAACCTAAGCAATGGAGTAAACGCTACGGTTTTTTAAGCTAGTTACAAACGAGCACTTCCTCTCAGTAATAGGACATTGTTGTGACGTAAGCAGCTCTTATTACGTGTGCAATCAGCTTTATATCCGCGTGGCATACTACAGCTGTTGTGATTCAAATCGTGAGAGCTAGCCTTTAGAAATTAGTTGTTTTGCCTTCCCTAGAATAGGTATATGGTTTTTATGCTGTTAAAGAGTAATTAAGTCAGATTGACATAATTTGTCGAATGTCAGTGTCATTCCCATGGTCCATAGCGCTGGATTTTTATGCAATCAGTTTTTCAGGCATCAGTTAGTTTTACTTCTCTGCCTAAGCCCCTATAATTTATGCCTGAAAGAGAAGAGTGTCTTCTAATTACTAAAGAATATAATCATCACTTAATGTTGAATGCTAAAAAACTTTGGGAAAAATTTCATACCTAGGACCAAGGACCAAGGACTTTGAAAAAAAGGACATTATTTCCCGAATACTGTACCGTTTGGTAAATATTTAACGGCTGATCAATTGATTGAGCAGCCCTCAAATTCTAGTTTTGTATACATAGAAACAATTGAAACGCCAAAATGTCAGCGGTTTTGTATATGTTCGTATGTAATGAGTTACCAGGAGACCACGTCACCAGACAAGAAAAAGACAGATAGATATACTTTGTTTCAATGTGTTTTAATAATAATAATAATATATGCTTTATTGTACACCACACAATCACATTATAGGATAAATATTAACAAAAATAGTGCACAATGGGCGGTCTTATCGCACAAGGCGATTTCTTACAGACAACCTTTGGATAGAGCAGTAATAGGAGTCTGATATGGGTCGTCCAGTGTACAATAATTAATAACTTTATAAAGTACATATACATATAAAGTACATATAAAGTACATAGTTACATATTGTTGATTCGATAAGGTTGCAGTTTGCTTGTGATGATTCTCCAATGAAAGACGTGCGGTTGTTTCGAAATTATATTTGACACTAAAGTTAATACGTAGAAGGTAGAATGAAATGAATGGACTACAGATTAATAAATATACATAGTTATGTGATACAAACTTTTTGAACGAACATACCGCCCACCAAAAAGGGCTTTAAGACCCTTTTTAAAAAATACTAAAATAACTTACACAATTAACACAAACATAACCATTGAATTAGAGAATTCTATTAACAAACTTCTAAAGTTACATAGCGGCAGGACGATATGACTTAAATTATGTTATATGAACTTACAAACAAATATTATTTATTTATTGGTCTTTAGTATAAATTGGTAAGTAACATAAGTTTGAAATTGATCTTCGAGTTACTTTGCCATTGTATCGTACAGTATAAACTCGTGTTATTCCATCCTGTCCAGGGTGTTTTTCCATTATACGTGCCAATGCCCACTTGCTAGGAGGCATGTTTTCATTTTTTAATAAAACAATGTCACCAACTTCAAATTCTAGTGTTCTCTTCAGCCACTTAGGTCTTTGGTTCAGTCGTGATAGGTATTCAGTTTGCCAACGTTTCCAAAATGCCTGAACCAATCGTTGAGTATGTTGCCATCTTGATATCAAATTAATACTAGCAGAGGTATAGTCACGGTCAGGTACAGTAATAAGAGCTTCTCCGACGAGGAAATGACCGGGTGTAAGGACTTGGATGTCCTCGATGACATCAACATCTGTAGATATAGGTGTCAGAGGCCGGGAGTTGAGACAAGCCTCGATTTGTGTGAGTACTGTGGTGAATTCTTCAAATGTCAAGTTCTTAGTTAGTACCTTTCTTAAGTGCTGTTTGACAGACTTGACTCCAGCTTCCCAAAGCCCTCCAAAGTTAGGACTATATGGCGGTGTGAATTGCCACTGTGTACCATCGTTTGCCAGTTGATCAACTAAAAGGCCGGGTACTTCATGACCTGCCTTTTGCCACATCGCATGCAATTCCTTGTTGGATGCCACGAAGTTGGTGCCGTTGTCACTCCAGATTTCAGTACATCTTCCTCTTCTGGCTACAAAGCGTTTGAAAGCTGCGATGAATGCATCGGATGTCAAGTCACTGACTAGTTCTAGATGTATAGCCTTTACAGCCATGCAGATAAAAATGCAAATGTATGCCTTGTTGGTTTTTGCTCCTCTTCCTTTAGAGTTTAATACATAAACAGGGCCAGCAAAATCCACTCCACTTCGAGCGAAAGGACGCGCTGGAGTCACGCGAGGTTCAGGTAAGTCGCCCATCAACTGGTGTCTACTAGCAGCTCGTTGGCGCGCACAGGTAAGACAACTATGTATATATTTCTTCACCAGACTCTTGCAGCCAACAATCCAGTATTTACTCATCAGGTAAGTAATCATCATATTTATACCACCATGCATTGTTTTCAGGTGTGCATCCGCCACAACCAATGATATGAAACTGTTTCTTTTGCCTAGTATCACAGGATGTTTTAGATTCTCGTTGGCGTCTGCGTTTCTTAATCTTCCGCCCACCCTGAGGATATCTTGTTTATCCAAAAATGGGTTTAGTGTCTTCACAAGGCTAGTGCTTTTTACATTCTTATTTTCTTTTAACCTTCTTATTTCATCATGAAATTCTTCTTCTTGAACTCTCTTCACGCAAATTTCGGTAGCTCTTTGTAGTTCTTCAGTTGTCATTTCATGACCCAGTCTTTTTGAATCTCTCTTCATATTTAAAAATCTTCTACAATACACTATTATTCGTAATAGCTCGGTAAGTGACTGGTATTCTTCAAATTTAATATACTTTTCCTCTACTGTTGCGTTTACGTAGGACTGTATGGTTTTCTTTCTTTCTAATTCTATGTTTGCTATCGTGGGTCTTGTAAATTCAATAGGTTCATTCTTAAGCCAGGTAGGTCCATCCCACCATAATGTCTTCTCTTGTAGTTCTGATATTGATGATCCCCGTGAAGCAATATCTGCTGGATTGTGCGCTGATTGCACATGGTACCAATGAGTACTGCTTGTTTGTTCTAGTATTTCCACCACACGGTTAGCAACAAATGGTTTCCATCGGTTTGGTTCTCCACGAAGCCACGCTAGGACTATAGTAGAGTCAGTCCATGCAAATACGTTATCTGCAGGAATTCTCATAGCTTGGCTCACTTGGACTAATAATTTAGATAATAATGTTGCTCCACACAGCTCTAAGCGTGGTAGTGAAACTGTCTTGATTGGAGCTACTTTTGTTCTTGATGCGACAAGATTTATCTTTATCTCATCATCCTCAGTTTGTACTCGACAGTATACCACAGCTGCATATGCTCTTTCCGACGCATCACAGAATCCATGCAGCGTAATTCGATCTCTTTTAGTGCTGAGAGTATTCACCCAACGTCTTATACTTATTTCCTTAACATTTTCTAAATCTCTTCTTATGAACTTCCATTCTTGCTTCAGTTTATCACTGATTTCTTGATCCCATCCAACTCCTTCAAGCCATAGTTTTTGTACTAAGATTTTTGCTGTTATGATGACTGGAGCTATCCACCCCAGTGGATCAAACAACTTCTGTAAATCAGATAGAATGGTTCTCTTTGTAATGTTTGATGATATAGGTTCCAGTTGTAATTGGTAATGAAATTCGTCTTCTCTAAGGTTCCATGCAATACCAAGAGCTTTGATGGTGCCGTCTAGTTTAAGGTCTAGATTGGCCTTTGTTGTGACCTTGTTAGCGTCCATGGACTTGAGAAACTTCGCGTCATTGGACGCCCATTTTTGTAATTTGAACCCTCCTTTTTCCAGAATTGTTGTAATTTGCTTACTAACATGAATTGCTTGTTCTGTTGTGTCGCAGCCCGACATCAAATCGTCGACGTAGAAGTCTTCATGAATAATCTTGGCAGCTTCAGGATAGTGTTCACCTTCTTCTTCTGCGAGTTTCATCAAAGTTTTAGTAGCTAGGTAAGGTGCAGATGCTGTACCGAACGTGACCGTTTTTAATCTGTAATCTTTGATTTCAGGTAGCTGGCAATTTGGTTCATTGTGGTTATTAACTTTGCCTCTCCACAGCACTCTGTGGTAATCTGTATCATATCTGTCCAGAAGCACCATCCTGTACATTTTTGTGATGTCACTTACGAAACAGATTTGATGCATGCGCCACCTCATAATCACACTTCGCATATCTTCTTGCAGTACTGGACCAACCAAGAGCTCATCATTCAGCGATACGCCGTTGTTGCCTTTACACGACGCATCAAAAACAACTCTGAGTTTTGTTGTCTCTTTGTCTGTTCGAACTACAGCGTGATGTGGTAGGTAAATGCATTGATTATTCATTTCCTGTTCTGGAACTTGTTCCATGTGTCCCATTGCTAAGTATTCATATAATACCTTGTCGTACTCTTCCCTTAATTCAGGTGTTTTTTCTAGTCTTCTTTCTTGCTGAATCAAGCGTTTCATTGCAATTTCTCTTGTCGCTTCCGGTATTACAGGTTTATTGGTTCGGAATGGGAGTTTCACGACGTATTGTCCTCTGCTGTTTCTTGTATAAGTCTCCTCGTAGTAACTTTCGCATTGCTTTTCTTCCTTTGTATATTTCCTCTTCGACTCTGGTTCTATTTCCCAAAATAGTTTTAGTAAATCTTCTCCTAAAATCTGATGATGCATAACAAGAAAAGCTTCAGCTTGCTGTGTGGTCTCTTCTACTCTTCCGAACAAAATCCAGCCGAGGTTTGTTTTATGAGCACACGGTGACCCTGGCGGACCCTTGATTATTTGATCTTGTACAATTTGTGCATACACATCGACACCCAGAAGCAAATCGATAGAACCTGGCTGGTAGTAGCTTGGATCAGCCAGGACTAGTCCTTCTAGATGAGGCCAATTGTTAGTGTTGATAGTGCGGGATGGTAACTTAGTAGTCAATGGTTTCGATAGAACATATGTTCGGATTTCCATGTTGAAATCTTCACACCTTGATTCGACGCTGATTTGAACTACTTGCTTGAGTTCTTCTTTCGTTGATCCCACACCGACAACTGTACCCTTGATAGGATACCGGGTTGCCATGAGTTGTTGTGCAGCGCGTTCACTTATGAAGCTCGCTTGTGAGCCTTGGTCTATTAAAGCACGTAATATCATTGTGTGATTGGTTTGACTTCTTACTCGTACGATTGCGGTCGCTAATAATGATGTGCTTTGTGTTGTTGAAACGTGTGATGTCATCATTGTTACGTCTTGTTCTTCACTCTTCTCCACGTTTGTATGTAGTGTCACTTCGGATTGTTTTGTTTCTTTCTTAGTATTGCCCGTTGTGTCACGTTGAACCTCCTTATTTTCATGTAGAAGTGAATGATGACGTCTTTTGCATATTCTACAACATGTTGGTATACGACAATACCTTACAGAGTGTCCAGGTGCAAGGCAATTGAAGCACAGGTTGTTCGTTTTGATGAACTCACATCTTTCCGTAGGTGATTGTTTTCCAAATTCTTTGCAATGGCTAAGTGTATGACATTCTTTGCATATTTTACATTGCTTAGTGTTTTCAACATTAGTAGTTACATGAAATGTCTTCTCTCGCACTTGAACAGGACTCGACTTTTGTTTTGTTGGTTCTGTGAGTTCCAACGTTCTAAATCGGCTTTCCAAGAACTTGCGAAACATATCCAACGACGGTAGAGTTTCAGAATCTTGACAATTGCTACTTACATGCTCTTCCCAGTCTTTGTGCGTTTCACAGTCTAGTTTTTGTACTACCACGAAGATTATAAGAGGATCCCAGTTTTCAATATTCACCTTCAAAGTTTTGAGTTGATGTAAACATTCGAACGTTGTTGTTGTTGTATCTAGCAAATTTTTGATAAGACTTGAACTGTTAACAGTCATTTTCTTTTGAGAAAAGAACCTTTTCATCACTGCATTTATGATAATTCGAATATTGCCATACCTTGCTTTTAAAATGTTCCATGCTTGCTCATAATTCGAATCTGTCACCTGTATATGCTTTAATATCGAAGCAGCTTCACCAGACAGGCTTGTTTTCAAATAATGTAATTTTTGTACATTATTTAATGACGCATTATTATGCACAAGTGTATAAAATAAATCATGGAATGATAACCACTCTTCATATTGTCCACTGTACGTAGGTAGTTGTATTTTTGGTAAAATTACCTTTGTCGGTTGAGATTCGCTGGGTATTGGCAAAGAAGCACTATCACTAACTGTCTGTGTCACTAAAAGTTCCTTCAAGTCCGTAATCAAGCTAATGTACATCTCCTCATGTTCATAATATTCTTCATTTGCTAAATACGGTATAAGGTTCCGTTTCTCCCGTTGTACGTTACGTATTATTTCGCCATGAGCTTGCTTATAGTCAATCCAATAGTCTTCTACACATTTCAGACGAGCTTCGACGTAAGTGCGGGTTAATCTGGTCTTTGGGCTCTTCTTTAAATTGATATGGGTCTTCTGCAAAGTACGAGCAATATTTTCCACAATGTTGCATGCTTTATCCACTTCTGTAGCCATTGTTGTTTCGTAAAACGTAAATCTTCACAAAGCAATGAATTGAATGTAGTTATTATGTTTAACTGTAATAAATATCTAATCTTTTCTTTTCGATTTTTACAATGACATTATGTGTCACTCTCACAAAATGTAGTCCTCCATATATCTGAGCTGGTATCCGGTTCGATTATGGACCATATGTTGATTCGATAAGGTTGCAGTTTGCTTGTGATGATTCTCCAATGAAAGACGTGCGGTTGTTTCGAAATTATATTTGACACTAAAGTTAATACGTAGAAGGTAGAATGAAATGAATGGACTACAGATTAATAAATATACATAGTTATGTGATACAAACTTTTTGAACGAACACATATAATACAAAAATACAACTACAACTCAAAAAAAATAAAAAAAAATAAATATAAAAATAAAATAATATACATAATATGATATCTACATAAATCACATAATGGTGTGTATTTGTGCATGTGTGTGTATGTGTGTGTATGTGTGTGTGTGTGATTAAGATAGGATATAAAATTAATTTAATGGTCTGCGTGTAATTCTATAGTAGCCAAGTTATTTCAAGAAACTGTGTCATCCCTTCTTTTTCAAAGTCCTTGCCTAGGACTATACCTGTTTGATATAAGACCACAAAATGAACACAAAGGAAAATCTCAAGGAATCAACAGAAGTACCAACTTATTCAAAAAAAAAAAGAAATATGGACGTAAATCATCTCACTTCATTAACAGTTAAAACTGTGATGTTCTTTAATTATGAGATTTACCCGCAAGTGTAAGGTCATATCATCAAGAATAACAAGATTATTAAAATTTCGAGAAATGTCTGATTACATTTAATTGACACAGTGGAAAGAAGATTGCGGTCATTTCCAGTCTTTAATTTCATATCACGTCTTACGTATGCGGACGTAGACATTAATAAAGTGTGTTAAAACTGGTATCATTATTGTAGATATTTTTCCAGATGTTAAAGTAAGTATTTAAAAAAAATAATCATTTAGATTAAAATATCGACGGTTTTTGACGACGAGTGTCGCAATAGTACGACAGCTAAATAAATATCCCGAGGAATTGATCTGAAACCTGTAACTTGAAATAAGGGCAGATCAAAGAGGTAGATATAAGAATAATATTTTTTTACAACCTACGTTAAAAGAACCGAATTGAACCCCCTCCTTTTTGAAGTCGGTTTAGTGTAACAAGCACTTTTCTGAGAAACGCATCAAAATCGGTACAGCCAATCGCGAGATAATTGCGCGCAAACATACATACATACACACATACATACAGGTCAAATTGAGAACCTCCTTCTTTTTTTGAAGTCGGTTAAAAAGATTATGTGCGTGACATCTACATATAAATTGTTGTTGGACTCAAAAATAGTTATACGTATAAGTTTATAATATACTAATATTTACTCTGTCTGCAGGAATTCACTGAGGGAATTGGAAACTATCGTTTTTTTTCTTCTCCTCTAATGATATCTTCTGATTCACTTCGTTGCTGGAACCAAAACTGAAGAGGCTAGACTTCAGTGTTTTGGTGTTTTCATGGTTGTATCTACTGTAGATCCTGGCTTACAGGAGATGCAGCGGTTTTGGGTGGTTGTGACGGGCTTGTCCCACAAAAAAAAATGTACTAAAACGAAACAAACAATAAAATATAAAGCGTAAACTTTATCACACATTGAGTCGGAACATATACCCACCTAAGTACTTACCTAAGATAAAACTTTTTATATTTTTCCTGGTACAATAAACAGTTGATAAGCCTACTCCTTGCTCATTATTTCTCAGAATTATTAAAGCCCTATATGAACCGGTCAGTGGTCGGATACAGGGCGACCCTTGACACTTTGCGTCCATTTCAGACTATCTCACGATGGGCAGGAGTTCTGAATGTCAACAGTCATGGCGATTGGCGCATTCTCCATATCGAAGGCAGCTGTACGGGTGCACGGCCAATTGTTTTGTCGACCATATTCTTTATGTTAGTCGTTGTAAATCTGTCTGACTGTCTGTCTGGGGTGCTTTAATGGACGGTGATACTGATAGTCAACAAAAAAGAGTTTTGTATTGACAAATAAAAAACAAAAATCGGATAAGTGTGTCTCGAATTATCAGTTAATGATTAACGGTCGAAATGAATAACCTGGTTCAATGTGAAGTCTGTGGAGAAGGTCGATTCTTGACATTAATTTTATAGAGCTTCTGTCAAAAATCAATCATAATACACAGATTTAGGATTGAGATTATTTATTATTAATTTTGGTCATTAAAGTACAATTAATTAATAAGTATAGGACAGAAATGAAACCGGTAAAGACCGGATCGGACTTACACACGGTGGGTTCCATAGGTATACCATCATTACCCATACATATAAAATAAACTATAAGAATATAACTATAGACAGGTAAGCACTGTAATCAACACCTAGTTTAAAAAATAAACGTTACATTTTAAAATAACGAATTTATTCCACAGTCCTTTTCGATCGTAATCGGAATGCGTATAGGTACATTTATATTAATGAAGTTGTCTTTTGTTTCTCAATACTTTGTAGTAAGACGAACGGTTTTATTGCATCGTTAAATGGACAACAATAAAATAAACTACCTACTTATTTACTATTACGACTGTTTAAAAAGTTGGCAAGGAAGAGGGTACAGGTAGGAAAGCAATAATGTGACTGCGAGTAATATTAATTATGTTAATTTGATTGCATACTGACAAATTCATTAATGTTTTTTAACTTGTGCTTCACTTTACAGTAGGCACATTTATGTAGATCTTTGATTATAGACATCAAATGAAGCTGCCCACCAACTTGAATATTTTTTGTAAAAGCATTATCTACATATCGTTCAGTAATAGTCTGTTTGGGCTCTTTTGGAAACAACCAAATCCAAATGTTACTGAATGTAGTTTGTTCCACTATTTTCTTAATTTAGGTCAGTTTGATGGTTTAATAGAGTCGCATTTATAAATCATCATTATCATCCTATGCTCTACGCATGTCTCTTAAATAACACACCATTGAATTCCTGCAATAACACGCAATCCTACTAATTACTTCGTCTTCTTTACAATTAAAACCTTCTTGGTGACGCATGACGCCCTTTGAAACACGGATAAACATCCAAAGGCGTAGATCCCTTTATCTTCTCATCAGTTTAGCGACAGTCCTTGGCTACAATCACATACAGTAGTTTCCACTCCCAACGCCTTCAAGGTTTTATTGTGCCCTTAACTAATAACAATGTTCACACGATCGATCAAATTCGAATTGTCGATTTGTCTATATTGATAATGCAGATAATTGTTCGGCAAATTAGCTAAGCGACTGGCGACATAGTGATCGATCAATTGACTGACAAAACCACTTTGCTAGAGCTATCAAAAAAGAAAAGTTGAATGAACGAATTACTTTGCTATTTTGTACAGTCAGCGACATATTGTTGCAAGTCTTAGAATTTATTGTGATAACCATTTATTTTGCAGTATTGTTAAGCAAGTTAAGGTCATTAGCTGGTCATGTTAAGTCTAGAACAACTGAACAAGGCGAAAGATTTTTTTATTAGATATTGAATATTTTGTGTTATTATTATTCGTATTGTAACTTTCGTAAGACATACTTAATAAATTATGATGATTTCGGCTTACTCACGTAATTATTTGACGAGGGACTCGACTAGTTTCAAGCCCTACTGTAGCAGCGCGACAGTCGCCGCGTCACAGGTCGCGAAATGGTACTCATGAATATGAGCCTTTAGCATGGCTTGAAACTAGTCGAGTTCCTCGTCAAATAATTACGTCAGTAAGCCGAAAGCATAATAATTTATTTATTATTTTTTGTTTCATTATTTGGCCTGTTGACTTAAATTATTATTTGAGAATAGCATATAACTCAGTGTTACGTATTACATGACCTAAGACTAAAGGACATAAAATTGCAGATGAACTATGAATAAACGTATCTTTAAGTTTCTAATACAAATTCCATCGCTATAAGTTAATCGAGAGATAAGTATAGATTACGAATACTTCTTTGCGTAAATGAATGATTAGATCTAAATTGCCTACTGTAATCTATAACCTACATAAATCAACATTTGCTCACAAATCAACGTGTTAATCTTAACAGAACATCACGCATTTTATCCCCGAAGTGGTAGGAAGAAGTGCACATTATGCCACTGTACAATGTAACACCTACTTTTCACTATTTATGTTATGAGTCCCATGTAATAGGGGGTGAGCCTATTGCTATATACCGAGCACATTTCCAGAGTCCGTGCTACTACTGAGAATTTTATTTAAATTTCATCTTTTCATTCACAAATAT